AGGTGGGGTGTGACATTCCCTGGAAGAGTGTAGGAGCAGTGTTCTTCCTTTGTGACCTCCAGTCACAATATCCTGCCTCTTCTTGGGACCAGAGCGATGGAACCAGCTGAGTATGAACTGAACTACTGAAACCATGAGCCTCAAATAAAATTTTGCTCCTCTCAGTTGGTCAGGTTGACTTTTTGGTCACATCGACAAAAAGCTGACTTACATGCATAGATAGTACGCCATACTTCCTGTTGGCCTTCCTGCTTCCGCTTTTGCTTTCTGAATGGCAGCTGAAGTCACACCACAGTTCTCTCTCCTGGTTAAATCTTGCAGTGGCTTCCCACCAAATGCAGAAAGCCAACATGACGTACTGAGTCCTACGTGCTCCTACTCATCTTGCTACCCTCACTTCTTCCTCTTGCTCCCCTCCCTCCAGGCCTCCAGGGTCCACCACACAACATCACCTGTTCCTTGAACATGCCAACATCCACCCTGTGCCCTCTGACTGAACTCATCTTTCCTCTCTCTGTACATAGCTAATTTCTTTTCATCCTTCAGGTTTCAGATTAAATGTCACCTCCTCAGAGAGTTCTTGCATCAACCCCTTCAGAACAACTCCCACTCCCTGCTCTGGTTTCTCTCTATTATTGCACACGAGTTTCTTTTGTTGCATATACTGCAATCATTCATGGTCTTGTTTATCAATGTTCCCATTGGTCATTTATCTTTATGACCCGAATGCAAGCTCCAGGTGGGAGCAGAACCACTGTGCATTTCTAGTCTGGCTGAATGTAAGAATAAACCAACAAAAATAGAGGGAGCAAAAAACAGCTAAAATAAAGTTTCCTAAAATAACACATAAAATTTGGGCTGTTTTTTTTTTTTTATTATTGCCTTTCTCTTAATAGGAACGACTAGTACTCTCTATGAATTACAAGTGTGCTGCCTAAATATTCATTTCACTTTCAACATTTTGACTTCTCTCTCCTCATTCTATTAGTCACCAAGACCAGGTGATCCCTGCATCTAATTCTTTTGGTGTTTTGCCTTCAACACCAGCTCCAGTCTCCCAACTGACACTCTTATCCCCCTCCTGTAGGTCACAGCAAAGGCCTTCTCTTTCTTCTCTTAGCTGAGCTATCAGTTCAACTTCTCCTCTTCCTGACACATACGTCTTCTAATGTCACTGTGAACCTTTCACTTCACTTTCCCAGAAGATTCATGTTCTATCTTAGTATAGTAAGTACAAAGATCCTCCAAAATTGAATCATATTTACCTACTTTTTCCCATCTCAAGCAGTCAATAATATTTCCCACTACTTCTTTAAATAATTCCTTTGGTCTCCTCAAATGCTTACCTTTCTATCCCCCAAATATATCCTGTTCATTACTCATTCTGGATTTTTGCTTCATCATGGCACAGATGGGGATGGGGGGCTGGCACTTCCCCCCATTCATCAGCTGAAACCAAACATTTTCTTCTGAATACAGTTCAGTTCTAACATCTTCACTTCAGCCTCCCCTCTCAGTTCCACCCACACGTCCTTGCCTTCTTTCTCAGTTCTTATAGCACTTAAACAATTGTTCCAGGCAACATTTGATTATACAAGACTTACATTTTGTTCTCCAGTTATTTCATATGTGTAATAGTTTCATATGAGACTGCAAGCAAGGACTGTACCCTTACTTCCTAATATTCCCAGCAGTGGAAAAAGTAGTGCTGATCCAACAAGAGCCTCTTACATTGATATTGATTTGCATGAACCTGAGGATGAACCCCTTCAACCGTAACCGTTCCAGATAATCTGCAGACCACACCGACTCTTACCCGGTCTCTCCTGCATGTCTCTCAATGTCTGAAATGTTCCCTTTCCACCTTCATTTACCTGGCAAATCCCTAATTCTCTTTCCATTCTCAATGAGGACAACATCTACTAAGGAAAGGCAAGTACCCTCTGTCCATTCCTTACATACTCCCCTACTCTGATATCTATGGAAAGCGTCACCCTATACATTCCATTAAATGTTCTTGATTCATAGCACCTGGCACACTATATTATAAATGTCTATTAACCCTCTGGCTTCCTAGACTAATTCATGTGCTATTTAGGGCCAAAGAATTTATCTTTTTTTTTCTTTGCAGCAGCAGAGCATAATATTCTATTGATTGTTGAAAAAATAAATGAACAAATAAATTGATAACAAAATCTGTTTAAGAAACTAAAAATTTAGAGCCTAAATATCACTTGAGTGTTAAGAAATGCCCAATATATCACATTCATACCACTTAAGATGGCTATTTGTTTTTCATTCCAAAAATAATCCTTAAGCCCCCACCCCAATATGTAACAGCACTGGGGAAACAGAAAAGACCCAAACAACTACAAATCCCTAACCTCTCAGACCTTCATCTTTCTAGTTGAGTCAGACAAGCTCTGACAGCTGGAAACCACAGATGAGTTCCAAGCAAGTTTCTGCAATGATGCTAAAATGAATGCCAAAATAGTGGCAATTTGAAAGGTGAGCAGTAGTTAAAATTGGATCTACTTTAAAGGCAGAGCCGGCATAGTTGGCTGATGAACTGGATATGGGGTAGGATAGAAAACAACAGTCAAGGATGGCTCATATTCTGTAGGTATAGAGAATAGAATTTGTGAAAGGTTTGGAAAGAACATATAGATATATGAAAAGTTTCTGTAAAATGTTGTTTTAAATTTTAATATGCAACAACTAACCTTCCCTTGGGCATATTTTGAAAGAATAGCAAGGGTCACATTTGCTTCTTAGACAAATTGATAAAATGGAACAAAAAGACCCTGGACAATTGTTAACAGTCTAGCTCCATGAAGCACTGCCTGTACTAAGTACCCTATAAAAGCCATTGAAATTTGTTTACTATAAGTCTCCCAAATACTATTTTTAAAATGACCAATTCAATGTAACTAATACAATAAGTTACAATTTCTATGACTTCTAACAGACGCTTCAAAGCTCACACAATTATTATCATTAGCAATATTAATAATTATACCTTAAATTATATGGAACCATAATTTAGATGTCAAATGGACACATGATAGAGGCCAAAGCTTAAGTTTGTCCTAAATCATAATCTAATACAAGGTGATGTGAGAGGGTTTTGACCTAGGAGTAAAAGCCTATGGAGTAAGAAGTCCCCATACGAGTGACTCAGAGTGACTTAAGCCACCTAAGACTAAATACTGAAAGAAACAGTGGGAGATTTGGGCTGTAAGGCAGCTACTTAAATAACCCAAATAATCAGCTACTGTGCTTAATGGCTATAATTTGGGGTAAAGCTGGTAATAATGGTTTATTTTTTTTTCATGCATTGAAGTATATGTCTGAAAAACTTACTGAATCTGGGGATTTAAACAACGAGACTGTTTATAAACATATGATGCAACAGTAAGTCTGTATAATGACTGAGTCTCTTGCAAAATAATTTAGTGGAGGTCATGATGAGTTATAACTTGGACTCTGGAGTTTTCATTGGGCAGAAACAAGCCATTCTCACTCAAGTCTGTGAGCTCTCTTTTTTTTTCCCTCACAGACTCTAAGTAGTTTACACAATAAATAGTTATTTCCATGGTAGAAATGGCCAACATGTCTAAGCCTCAAGCTTAACCCTATTATTATGGTTAGAAATCAAGGTTGCCCTTCTTCCAGATTTTCACAGCCACACAACTTTTGACCTAGCTGATAGAAACGTAAGAGTACACCGTTTCCTGACCTCCTAACACAAGCAAAAAATCAACATGCTAAGATATGTATTTTGCTGACTAGTGATACAATGCACAGGGGCACCACGGTGGATTCATACAATGGCAACCACTACAGATTCCTGCCAAAGAAAAGAATTTTAAGCCAGAGTTCACCCCTATATTTTCCATGTTCTCTTATCGAGGACTTTGATATAAAGCACAGATTTAAAAATTTCACACACTTTATCATTGATGAATGACATTACAGAATATAATTGAAACTTTCAGAATCTCAATGTAATCAGTCCCATGACAGAAATTCTCATTATTAGCACATGCAGAAGGGAAGAACTTCCCTTTTCACATAGATTTTTCTCCCACCTAAACATCATTCTTAACGGTGACAAGTGAACTTCTTTCTCCCTTCTTAAAAGTTATGTTTTAAACTCACCCCTTCCCTGAGCAGGAAAACAAAAATCTTTGCTAAACCCCACAGGATGGCAAACATTAATTCCACCGTGGGGTCTGCATTTAATCTATTCTGGGACATTGACTGATTCACAGAGAGAAGACATCTTCTACATGTACCCATTCTGCTGTGTGGAAGGTGCTAAATGCAAGCATGATAAAGCTCAAGGACAAAGTCATGATCCCTCTGTGACCCTTTTCAACATTAAACAAATGGTGGGATTAGGAAAAACCTCAGGGGCCTAAATGACTTTGTTTTTCTGATCCTTGCATTTTGGTGTGAACTTTTTTTTATGTTTATGCCACTGATAAAATATAACATATTAAAAAATGAACCATGAAAGAATCATACACATGAGCATGTAATAACACTCAGTTTGTTGAAATGAAGAGTTAAAATTTACAAATTGAAAAAGTTGATATCAAAGAACTTCATGGAAAGAATACTGAAACTGTAGTCAAATCCTTTCCTGCAACACTAAAGAAATAAAGACACACAGAAAGTTAAAACTACTTGTCCTAAGAAATCATTGTTTCAAGCCAGTCTTGACATTACTATGCATTTGTTAAATGTCTCTACTGTGTTGCTCCAGAGTTTCAGATTTATTTTAAATATAACTCGGCGTCCAAAAGCAATGACTAATTCATTTCTATGACTCCTCTGTTCAAAATTTCAGGACTCTTTTTCAGAACCATTTTATCACAATCTAGTTTTCTACCTTAGGAAGACCTTTCTTCCTCAACTATATAAATAAATTCAAACAAATGAATTTTAGGTCACAAACTATACCAAAATAAAACACAAAATAAGTTGTCTCCTACCTATGGTTGTAATAACAGTGCCAGCAAAGAAGAAGGAACTTCCCAAATCCCAGTGACTGATTTGATTGGAGGTGTTTCCTAAGGGTATAATCCCTGCATTTATTGCTGCCACTATTTGCTGCAAGTTTAAAAAGAAATTTATCAGTGCACATCAATCACAGAGAGGCATCAAACAGTATCAATCCCACCCCAGAAATGACTAGTTAGACAAAGAGAATCAATTTTAAGGTTTTAATTTTCTATTTAAAATGAAAGTAGATATTAAAACTTCACAGTAAAGAATTTCATAGCAGTTCAATAGTAAGAAAAATACATTTGATATCAAGTGAATGGATCTGCATGAACCTTCTAATAAACAATGGGTACAACTAATGTGCATTCATATCATCAATTAACATAGTGGCACGTTGAATTAAACAACTAAGTATATAACAATGTTCTCTAATAAGCACCACAGATTTGTTAAAATTTAAAATATCAGATTGCAAATTACAATTAAATAACATGTAGTAGTTTCATCAATAAAGAGTATTTCCAAAGTGGTAATCATTTCAAATGTTAAACATATGCATCCAAGACTGAGTTGTCTATAATTGAAGTGACCATATATTAAAAAACTCTTCCCCCTAAAAAAACAGCCTAAGTGGAAAGAAAGAAGAAGAAAGTAAAAAGCATAGCAATTTACTGTCAAGCTTGTCAATCCAGTTAGATTTAGATTTCTCAAATTTCAATACATTCTTATTAATTGTATAGCAATGAAAATCACTAAAGATTAACATCTGCACTATTTAAATAGGGACCATTAAGATCTAATTCTTCTCCAACTATTACTGAGGGGTAGACAGAAAGATGACATTATAATCCCTTCTTCAATCATCAGATGTTGGAGAAGGAGAGAAGAAGATACTAAGAAGAAATAATAAGAAAACATATGAGACGAAAATGTACAGAAGAGAAATATACAAATTATAGAAGAGGATATTTCTGTTGTAAATAGAGTTTTAGAGGTCTTTATCATTTAATTTTCAGATTTTAATATCTGAAAGAGTTTCATTGAATAAGTAAATAAAAGATCAAGAAAAGAGTGACTGAATTAGTTATTTAGTTATATAGTATAATGGCAAAGGGTCATTAAGTACATTCAGAAAATGGAGATAGTTCCCAAGAAAGTGACTAGAAAAAAAAAGATGGAAAAAATCAGGAAACCAAGAGATGAAACAAAATTTCAAATTTCATTTCAAGCTGACTCTTACAATATCTGATTTGTATTCATCTGTGAATGGAAACTCCTATACTTGTGAAAAAAATTAAGACACTATGAAAATGCATTGAAAAGATAATTAAAACTAAACATATAATTCCTGAATCCTGAGATAACCCCAGCTCCTGTTAAAACAGTATAGGTATATACTCAAGGTAGTTTGATATGCTTTCTACATAGTTGGATCTGTGAATTATAGTTGGATAGTTGGATTTGTGATATGAAATGTTGCATTCTCTAATCTTAACATGATTCCACTGCATATTTTCTTTGTCATTAGCACATTTACATAATCATGGTCCTATATGTAGATGCATATGTTGTTCTAAAATTTGTCTCATTATAAAAAAAACATGCTGTTTTGGATATATTTGTGTATACATGCTTTCTATTTCTGAACACTCCCCCAGGAGATATTGTTAGAAATAAATGTGCCACACTAAAGATTATGAAGGCACCTGAGGTACAGTAGCAAACAGTTATCCAAGGAGGGTATCACAACTGACCTCCTACAATTTATGAATGCTTAGCAATACCTCTAAAATTAATAACATGTTATCTTTACAGGACTAATGAAAATGTTTACCTTTATATATTGCTTATTGAGAATAATATTGCTTAAGTATGCTTCCTTTATTCTATGTTAAATGTACACAAATGGACACACATAGATACCCATGTACACAGCACACAATGAAGCGAGTTTTGAGAGAGTTCATTCTGTTTACCTCTCTATGGTAAGCTTCATACCAGATAAGGCAGTTCTCACTTCATTATCCTCCTTTCAAAACATGTTCTTTACAGTTATTGCCTTTTTATTCTTGCATAAACTTTACAATCATTTAGTTAAATTTTATAGAAATTTTCATTTCCATGGGTTTAATATATTTTCATTGAAACATGTCACATGTTTTAAAATGGAAAATATGTAAAACCTATAAATTAAATAAGGAAAACTAACATTATTATAATAGCTGAACTTCTCACCAATGTACATGGCATGTTTCTCTACAGCATTTTAACATATTATATATAGATCTATACATTTTTATAGGTATTTTCTTTTTCCATTTTAAATTATAATTGTTTATTACTATTGAATATATACATACATCTCATTCATCCTTTTTACCAGCAGGTCTCAAATTTGATATCTTAAAACTGCTTTGTAGTTCCAAAATTTATTGAAGACTTTTGTTTATTGGATAATAAGTATTAATATTTACCATATGTTGTAATTTCTAATTTTCAAATGTGTTGATTAATTCATACACAAGTAAAAAGCTCGTGTAAGTAATCTACTTTTATGAAAAATAATTGTTTTCCAAAGCAAACAAAATATGTAGTAATAAGACAAGCAGTTTTATAATTTTATAAAGGATTATAAAGTCTGGCTCATTAGACAACAATTCTATTTTAATATATGCTTCTGCATTCAATCTGTCAAGATAGCATATCACATAGTCTCTGGAAAACTGCAGTGCACCTTCATAAGACAAAAGGCAGAGTGCTAGCCCACTATGGACAACGAAAAAACATAAATACCTTAGTATTATTAAGAAAATAAGGTTTGACCTCATCAAACCTCTGACAGTGTCTTGGGGACCACATTTTGAGAATCATTGCTTAATACTAAGTAACTCATTATTCCCTTTTATTTGTGTGTTTGATTTCAACTCTACCTGTAAAACTAAAACTAAATAAGTTATTACTTACAAATCACGACATTTAATCTCATCTTTCAATAGCTACATTTTATTACTTTTCATTTCTTACTGCATTGTCCAGTTTTTCCAGAGCCAATGCTAAATAAGAACATTAAAAGCAGATTCTTTGTTCTTAATCATATAAAATCCTCAATGAATGTTTGATCATTTAATATCTTCACTATTGGCAAGAAAATGATGTTTAAATACATTCTGAGAGCAGATATGAAAAAGATAAAACTTAAAAAAATAAAAATGCCTTCAAAAAATAATTTAATTTAGCAATAACCATATATGGGATTTGACAGGTGAAAAGATGAAAATTATTTTATTTAAGCATAAACCAAATGAAAATCATAGGTTCATGTACTCTAACACTAGGAAAAGCATAGCTTATATAGCTAAATAAATAAATCAAGGTATCACAAATCTGAAAGGGCTGCTTATGATAAGTCTGCTATTGGCTGGTTACTCTGGAAGAAAGAGCTTCACAGCTAATAAACATGGGGATGCCACACCTTTGCATGTGCTGGCAAACACTGTAGGCATAAGCCCCAGGAACACTAGGGTGTCACTCCCAGGAAAAGCTAACACTTTCAGTAAACATCAGGAAAGAGGAAGGTTTAGACAGATTGTAAATGCATACATAGTATATTTTAATATTTTACAGACATTTCTTTAACACATTAATTTATTTTTAAAAAATGATTATTAGTCTATGGTGACAAACAAGAGCAAAGCAACAGCCAAGTAAAAATATAAATGATAGAAATATAAATGAGAAAAGGGAAGGCAAGTCTTCAGACTTTACCTAGTCAATTAAATAGAATTGATTATCTTATTGGCTAAAGCAAGCAAATTTTGCCAACAATTAATTTAATACAGCTTTTATGGCCAACACCATTATTTCATTTTATCCCCTCCCAAGGGTGGAGGGTGTAGCTCAGTGGTAGAGTGCTTGCCTAGCATTCAGGAGGTCTTGGGTTCAGTCCCCAGCACTGAAAAATAAACAATGGCTTTTATTTTGTTCTTTCCTTTGTCAATGGTGAGGTGCAATGTTGCTCAGTTAGATACTTGAATAAAGTCCACAGATTATTTAAATTCAAAAGCAGCAAATCCAGAGCTATAACCAGAAATGGCAGTGTCTGGCAATGTGTGGGTTGTAAATAGGCATGGCAGAGCTGTGATGATTGAAACAGAGGCTTGAGATTAAACTAAAAATACATCAAGTCACTATGAGAATGAATCTACCATAAGGTCTTTTCTCTAGTTCTCATAAATTTGTTTTATATTTTTGAACAAAATCTCCCAGTCAACATCCACAGGAAACTAAATGCCCTTTCCTACACAGACTTAGGACTCCTCAATTTCATCCTTGATTCAGATATCAGAGCACTTAGCAAATGTCTTCAGGAGAACTGTTTCCAGTTGTGCTGTATCACATGACTAAAGTAACATGATCACTTAGTAGATAATAAAATTAACTTTTCCTTTAAAAGAAACTTTTGTGAACAATCATGTTAATGTTGACAACTGATGAACAGGTTGATTTCTTTGGGTTAAGATAAAGAAAATGTGCATTCCTATGCATTTAATGCTAATAGAGGATTACTTCAATTGTTGATTAAGGAAGGGCTGCTAAGACTAAACCCTGAAAATAGTACAAGATGATGTTGATTGAATTTACACTTAATTTTGCTCTTCAGTTTATAAACAAATATATAGAGTGTACACTAAGGAAAAGAAGTTGATTACAAGGTTCTGGTTAAGAACAGAGACTTCAACTTAAGAGAGGACTTAGAGGCTTACAAGCACTCAGATGATAAAAACAATAATGCATAAAGGTAATTACAAAAAATCTTGGTTTCCATGACAATAATGGCTTCAGATTCAAGGCGCAGAGAGCTCTGCTGTGAATTTGTGCATTCTTGAATTATAAAAAGTTGATCTCTCTGTGTCCTCTGGCCTATTGGAACTATATTCAGCTTTAACACCAAAGTTGATAAGACACACTACTTTGAATTATATACTAGCACTAATGAAATTCCAGGAAATTATGGACAATCATAAAATCTTTCCATGAGTCCAATGCTAAGAACCAACTTTATGTTTGTTATGTGGTATTAGAATGACTACTTTTTCATAAAAGGA